TTTCAGAGAGAGGAAGGGTGAGGGAGAGAGAGCTAGAACATCAATTGGCTGCCTCCTGCACGCCCCCTACTGGGGATCAAGCCCGCAACCCAGGCATGTGCCCTGGCCAGAATTCAACCGTGACCTCCTGGTTCACAGGTCGGCTCACCCACTGAGCCACACCAGCCGGGGTAGGAACTTTACAACTTTTATATAATGAATGTGAAATGCTGTTATAATGGGGGGGAAATTACCTTTAAAAATATCCGTGGCTTAGTGAGTATCGTTTCCTTTACTTCTCCCAGATTTGTCTTTTCATAGGAAATTCTTTGTGTTAAGGGGAAAAAAAACGTTGACTCCATTCCCTGGCCGACATCAGAGCTCCCCTGCTGGGGTTTAAGTGGGTAATCTGCTTTCGTTTTAATTGTTTCCCTGTCTGTCGGGTGTACTGCCTCCTGCAGTTTCCGTGTTGGTGGGCGAGGGCTCTGGGCTGGGCCACGCCATGTGGCGCATTAGAGGGGGTCGTGCGGGCTTCTCTGCATGGCCTTCGCAGGGAGAAGAAATGGTTACCTCCTCTGCCCCGTGCGTACGGAAGTGGGAGGAAACCCAGGATGTTGTCAGCTCACGCTGTCACTTCTGTAGACTGTTCTTGACAACTCAGAGTTATTGGTGTGGAAATGACATATATCAGGGGATCTAGAGATTCAACTTGAATCAATATTTATCGAGCACCAGTTTATCTTGGAAGAGGTGGGAGGAGTTCTGGGGCCTGGAAATACTTCTTGGGAAGGGCTGTGGTTCAGGGGCCATGGTGCTCCCCCACATCACTAGCGGCTCTGAGCATCCCCGGGGTCCCTTTCAGAAATCCACTGCAATGGTGTGAGTCCAGCTGTAGCAATAAGTAAGAGCCAATGACTTTTTTTTTAATGTGAGGGGACACGCAGCGGCCTTTCCTTCTCTCCCATGTCTGCCCCAGCGACTGGGCTCTTCACGCGGCGGGTCCCTCTCCATCCTCCTCCCACTGACCCTGGAGTTCTGAGAGCCTGCTGCTGCCAGCCCCGGCTTCCTGGGAGGGTGTGGGGACGTTGGGCGATCGATACGGCCAGATTTTAAATCTTTTATTTCTTTGATTTTCATAAAGGGATGCCAATGGGCCCGGGCCATTTCCCCAACTTGATTCATGCCTAATGGACGCGGAGAGAGAGTTATTAGAAAACAAATGCTTTGGATATATTTTTTTTAATGATTTGGATCTTTTTAAAAATATATTTTTTTATTGATTTCAGAGAGGAAAGGAGAGGAGAGAGAGAGAGAAAGAAACATCAATGATGAGAGAGAATCATTGATCGGCTGCCTCCTGTTCACCCCCTACTGGGATTGAGCCTGCAACCCGGGCATGTGCCCTGACCGGGAATTGAACGGTGGCCTCTTGGTTCACAGGTCGATGCTTAACCACTGAGCCACACCGGCCGGGCCCAATGAATTTTTAACTGAATGGCCGACCGGGTAGCTTCGTGGACAGGCGATGGATGAATAGTCACCGGTGAGTTAATGCGCGCTCGCATGAGTCCCAGAATAGCTGTCCCTGCGGCTGCTGCAGAAGCCGAGGCTCGTTGCTCAGAGGGCCCCTCTCCCTGAGCTCTGATTAAAGTCGGGAAGCAGGCGCGCAGGCCTGCCTGGTCCCAGCACTGCTGTCATTATGAAACTTTTCAGGAACAGCCAGTCCTCGTGACCCCAGAAGCATCCTTCATCCCCAAGCGCTGCAGTGTCTGCGGTCCGCTCCCTCCCCCCCCCGAAACGAGGGTACTGGAAGTCAGCTTATTTTGGGCCCAACCCCAGCAGTCCTGCCTCCATCAATGATTCATGCCCGGAAAGCATTTAAGTGCATTTGTTTTCTAATAACTCTCTCTCCGCGTCCATTAGGCATGAATCAAGTTGGGGAAATGGCCCGGGCCCATTGGCATCCCTTTATGAAAATCAAAGAAATAAAAGATTTAAAATCTGGCCGTATCGATCGCCCAACGTCCCCACACCCTCCCAGGAAGCCGGGGCTGGCAGCAGCAGGCTCTCAGAACTCCAGGGTCAGTGGGAGGAGGATGGAGAGGGACCTGCCGCGTGAAGAGCCCAGTTGCTGGGGCAGACACGGGAGAGAAGGAAAAGTTGCTACGTGTCCCCTCTCATTGGCCGCTCTGAGTGGACCCTCGGGCACCACCTGCTCAGTGGGCTCCGCGGAGTGCTGCCTCCAAGCTCCAGTCCCTACCATGCACCCCAGGGGTGGGTGCCATGTGCCCGCCCATAGGTCAGAGGTCAGCATCTGCCCAGCAGGGCCTGTGGGTACCCTGACCACTTTGAACTCTCCCACCACCTCCAGGGGGCGGACTGTTGTCAGGGGCTCCTGGGACAGAGGAGGGGCTGTCAGGGGCTCCTGGGACAAGGAGGAAGCTGTTAGGGGCTCCTGGGATAGAGGAGGGGCTGTCAGGGGCTCCTAGGACAGAGGAGGGGCTGTCAGGGGCTCCTGGGACAGAGGAGGGGCTATCAGGGGCCTGCCTGAGCCCAGAGCTCCTACTAGTATATGCCCGAGCGGGTCTCAGGCCCCTTCCCCACCTGATAGACCTATGGGGCCAGCAACCTCCATGGGTTTCCCACCTTCACAGGTGTGTTGGAGCGGAGGGCCACCGCCCCGCGTGACAGTAATGGTGACGGAGAACATAGCAATGATTTTGATTCACGTCCACCCTGTCTCCTCCCGCACGCGAAGGTCTCGCTCCCTGGACGCGCTCCTGGCAGCGGACATGTGGGCGCTTCCCCCTGGAAGGTGAATTGTCCTCGCAGCATCCCAGGTTCCGGTTCCGTGCTGGTGGGTTTGTGTCAGGACTTGAGAAAGGTTTTGGGAAACTTCCACGCTTGAACGTAACTTAAACATGTCTTCCCACCGAGCGTCTTATGAAATAGACGCTCATGGCTGGTGGAAATGCAGCAGCGGCGGGCTCCCCGAGACTGCAGATGCGCACACTGAGGCAGCTCTCTGCACCCCGAGACCCAGCGACCCCGCGACCCCGGGATCCAGGACTGTGGGGGAGCTGGCCTGGGGCTGGGAGAGGGGGCAGTCTCCCCGGAAGGAGGGCGTGATGGGGAAGCAGGACAGTCGCTCGGGAACAGTGAGAAGTGGGGCCGTGAGTTGATAAACGAAGGCCAAGCTCCCGTGAAGCCTGGCTGCCTCGGCGTCCGTGTGATGAGCTTGGGTCCCAGACGTCCACTCACCATTTGACCTTGGCATGTGACCTTGTCTGAACCTCAGTTTCTCCGTCTATGAAACGGGTAACCATCCTCCCCCCGTGGTGGGCAGGTCATGAGGTCACGTGTGCAAATCACTCCGTGTCTGATCCGGCCGCATGGTGACTGTTCGGATCACGTGGTGTCTAGCGCTTTCCATCTTGTAGATGTGGGAGCCCCCCCAGGGGCTGAGCATGCGTTCAGCTTACTTCCTACCTGAGACTCCGAGGAGAGGGCGGGGAAAGGGTGCGGGCTGTCCCTGTGTCCGTCCGTTTTCCTCCGAGGTCTCCCCGCATGAGGCAGAAGAGCCCTTTAGAATCAGGTTTTCTCTATACGCTGCTCAGAACCAACTCCTCCATAGAAACGCAGACGCCTCCGTTTTTCTCGTCCTGAAATTAGAGCGAGACGCAGGGTGGTGGCTAGAGGACAGAATGAAGAAGTCGAGTATAATTTAAGACTCGTGCGGAGTGGGGCTGCTTTAATGGAATCTTGTACTGTCCAGGGGCGTCGGACAGACGGCTGCTCCATAAAACGTGGAAATCAGCTAATGGCATACGGGCTCCGGCCAGGCCAGCGGAGGGCGATTTTTAACTGGGGACGACTCAGTTAGAGCTGGTCCCCGAGACGGTGAGGGCTGAGGACACGTCCTCCTGTTTGTTTGGGGCTGTGGTCATTCTGCCTTCCTTCCAGAACGCCAACACCAAAACGCACCTGGCTGCCAGGGCTAAGGGCTAAGGGCTAAGGGGCCTGCCTTTGTGGGGAAGGAAATGCCAAACCTCCAGAGAGGCTGGGAGGGCTTGTTAGGGGCCCAGCGGCGGGGCTGGTCACAGAGCAAGCTCTCCAGGGGCTGAGCATGCGTTCAGCTTACTTCCTACCTGAGACTCCGAGGAGAGCGTGTGCCCAGAGCTGGGGAGACCCCCTGGTTCTCCAGATAACCGTGTGCTTGGAGCGTGACAGCGGGTGGGGGTGAATGGTGGAGGGTGCGCAGTGCACCTTAGTCCAGGGGCCTGGGGAGGTGGAGCCCCCAGGGTCACCCCATGACCTCACCCAGAGCAGGTGTGAGCTCAGGGAGGTCTTGCCAGGAGGAGCTGAGAGCTGGGCATGAGGTGAGAGCTGGGAGGTGAGGGTGTGAGGAGAGTGCTATTCAGGCAGAGACGGCAGCTGGGGGACCCCAGAGATGTGGACACTGTTGTGAGCGCCCCACTGGTGAGGGGAGCTGTCAGGGCTGAGGGCAGGGAGCCCAGCGGCCGGGCCACTGCTCGGTGGTGGAGCTGTGGACCCGCCACGTGGCTCAGCCTCTCGGGGTCTCTGTCCCCTCCCAGGTGACAGCCGCGCCCACCACTCAGGGTGTCGGGGCAACTCAAGGGGCTCTGGTTCTGAAAGGCTGCGGCTGTGCCCACACTGAGAAGCTAAACAAGGACAAGTCAGCTAACACACAAGGCATTTCATCACCAGAGTCTGTTTTTTAAGAGGCTTTTTTTTCTTTTATTCTCCCCTTGACTATTACAGCACACAGCGCCCAGCGGGTGTGGCTCAGTGGCTACGCATGAACCCGGGAACCAGGAGTCCCTGGTTCGATTCCTGGTCAGGGCACATGCCGGGTTGCAGGCTCACTCCCAGGAGGGGGTGCATCGATTACGGTCCTCTCCCCTGTTCCTCTCCCCTCCTTCCTAAGAATCCCTAAAAACGCGCCTTAGAACAGAAAAGCACATACAGCGCTCCTGACGTCTCCACTGGCTTGTCTCTAGACGCTCCGGAGGCCCGGCCCTGCTCGCCTTCTGGAAGGACCCCGCGGGCCGGCTGTTCCGGGAGGCGCCTCCGCCATGGACCTCGTGGGGCTGCTGAAGTCGCAGTTCCTGTGCCACCTGGTCTTCTGCTACGTGTTCATCGCCTCGGGGCTCATCGTCAACACCCTGCAGCTCTGCACGCTCGTGCTCTGGCCCATCGACAAGCAGCTCTTCCGCAGGCTCAACTGCCGGCTGTCCTACTGCGTCTCCAGCCGTAAGCGCTTGCTCCTCTCCCTGCCTCTCTCTCCTCTCTCTCCTCTCTCCTCTCTCCTGCAGCCGGCTGGGCGAATCGGGCTCTTACAGGTGCCCCAGGCTCGCACTGCGCGCTATGCTACATATGTATTTGTTTCTGTTTGTTTGGACGTGGCTTGAAGTTGTCTATTTTGTCCTCGCTCTTAACATATTGGTTTTTGAATGAGCGACGCCAATGGCACACCATGCAGCAGGCACAGAGGTACCCTACGAAGAGTCAAGGTGCGTTCTGTGTTTCTTCAGATTTCCTCCTCGGGAGGCATCGGTGTTGATTCCTTAGTTGTCCCCACAGAAATGCATGTATGTGGAAACACATAGGTCTTGTGTGTGTATGTGGGTGCAGGCGAGTGTCTGCTGTGTGTAGATAGATGATGCAAACACATATTTGAAAAGCGAAACGGCAATTTAATATATTGTTCTCTTTCTTGCTTCTTTTCTTTAATTTTATATTTTGAAACTAGAGGCCCGGTGCACGAAATTCATGCACAGATAGGGTCCCTAGGCCTGGCCAGCGAACAGGGCCGATCAGGGCCTTCCTTCCCCAGCTGCCGGCCAGCACTTCCTTCATTCCGCGCCACCATCTGGTGGTCAGCGCATGTCATAGTGAGTGATTGAACTCCCGGTCTCCAGGTCAAACTCCCAAGGGGACACTTTGCATATTAGCCTTTTATATATATAGAAGATTGTAGATTTTCACGCAGTTGTAAGAAATAATATCGAGAGATCCTGTGTGCCCTTTAGCCACTTTCCCCGATGATAACGTCTTCAATACCACAGTATAGTATCCCAACAAGAAAATTAGCAGTGACACAATCCACCAACTATATTCAGATTTCCCGTTTTATATGCATTCGTGGGGGGGAGGGGCGCACGCGCGTGTGCCCGTGCTTGTGCTTGATTATACTGGACTATTAAAACATGACTAATTCAAGTAGCCTGAATTTCAAAAATGAACATGAAAAAGACGGATCAGAATAATGGGGAGTCAAGCGATGGGTTTTATAGTTGAGGGACCTTAAATCTTTACCTGTTCTCCACAGTAGAAAATGCAGTGCATCGGTAGCATCTATATATATGGGTGTGTATGTATTTGAAAATATGAGCTCTTTCAAATAAAGCCACTTAACAATCTCTGCGACCTTAGATTATGCCAAGAATAGCTATCATTCTGAAACCCTTTAGACCAGTGGTTCTCAACCTTCTGGCCCTTTAAATACAGTTCCTCATGTTGTGACCCAACCATAAAAGTATTTTCGTGGCTACTTCATAACTGTAACGTTGCTACTGTGATGAATCGTCATGTAAATATCTGATATGCAGGATGGTCTTAGGTGACCCCTGTGAAAGGGTCGTTCAACTGCCAAAGGGGTCGTGACCCACAGGTTGAGAACCGCTGCTTTAGATGAAGCAGTCCAATCTGAATCTGAATCAAGACAATAAAAGCTGTGTACAGTTGTCCAGATGGATTAATATGGATCCAATCCATTATTTTTGAACCTCAAAACGCTCACTTGTGAAGGGAAAGAATGATAGGAACATCCTTATTCTTTTTAAAAATATATATTTTTATTGATTTCAGAGAGGAAGGGAGAGGGAGAGAGAGATAAAAACATCAATGATGAAAGAGGATGCCCCAGCCGACTTGGCTCAGTGGATAGAGCATCGGCCTGTGGACTGAAGGGTCCTGGTTCGATTCTGGCCAAAGGCATGTGCCCAGGTTTCGGGCTCGATCCCCAGAGGGCGGTGTGCAGGAGGCAGCCAATCAATGATTCTCTCTCATCATTAATGTTTCTCTCTCTCTCCCTCTGCCTTCCTCTCTGAAATCAATGAAAATATTTAAAAAATCACCCATTCGATCACAGGTCCCTGCCCCAGGCTTCCCTCTGCCACAGCCTCCGGTACTCGGGTGTCTGCCGCGGAGTAGAAAAGGGGTGGCCCATCAGAGCAGGGCCGAGGCGGCGATGGCTGCTCCCGAATTGTCCCCAGAGCGGGAAGGGTTGGCATAATCAGGAGGAGGAGGCGGTTGTCTCTCACCTTGTAATTTCAGTGTCTCCTCGCGCTCCGGCTGTAGGCGTCTATTTAAACGAAGGTAAACCCACAAAGCCGAGCTGACTGCACTGTCACTGAAACCTGCACTCATGCCATGCGCACGCCCCTCGAAGACTCCCAATCCGCCGTTTGAAAGGCTCTTTGCACTGTTACAGCCCCTCCACATCTCAAACACGTGGTTAAAAGTCGGGGTCCTATCTGCAGTCAGGCCGCAAGAGGCGGGGTTCCGGCCGGGAGTGCCCGCGTGTGAGCTGTGCTGTGCTTCGGAGAGGGAGTGGGTACACACCAGGCCACCCCCAGGACACCAGGCAGGGCATGTCCATGCGGGCGCACACGTACAATGCGATTGAAACTTTGTGGCCCATGCGCAGAGGTCGGTATTTTGTGGAAGAGCCACACTCAAGGGTCCAAAGAGCCACGGTTTGCCGAGCCGCAGTTTGCTGACCACTGCCCTGGGGAAAGGCATGGGTAGAAGTGGGGGTGATGCATCCGGGGCTGACGTAGTGGCGCCTCACTGCAATGAGTCCCTCCCATTGGGAGCTCGCCCCCTGCTTTCCTGGTCCTCCCTTGCGGGTGCCCCAGCCTGTGTGAGACGGCGGGACCCCCTCCCTGCTCTCTCTTCTCTCTCTATGTCCTCGGAGCGTCCCATAACGACCACGAGACCGACTGGGTGGGAAGCAGGGCTGGGCGCTGACCGTCATGAGATGCGCGTGGTGAGCCGGGAGTCCGAGTGGCGGCCCTTCTGTTGCTCCCACTCTCCGCCTCCCTCCAAGTTCAGATGAAAACTCCGCTGGGGTCTGTCTTCCGGGGTCTGAACGGTGCGAACACTAGACAGTCAGCAGCGCTCATCGTCTGCAGCCGATGTTCTCAGGAGCGAGGCCGAGTGGACCTCCCGGAGACGCGGCCCCGCACACCCGGGCCCTCGGAGCCGGGTCAGCATCCTTTCGCGCCAGATGTTTGTGAGGAGCCCGGTGCTGTGCCAGATGGGTCCGAGGCCGCCGCCCGCCCCGGGGGTGGAAAACAGAGGCCCAGGGCCGTGAGGACAGCGTGGTTCCAACATGAGGACAGCGTGGTTCCAACATGAGGACAGCGTGGTTCCAACATGACCCCAAGCTGGGAGCGCTTTTCGTCTAAAGGCGAGACCCCGAACATGAACGGCAATGTGAAAGCACATTCGATCCGGACGGCTAGGTGGTTGAAGGGCTGCTTCATTCCATCCTGCCTGGACGTGTGGGCAGAAAGGCTGGCAGGCTGGCTCAGCACCGAAGGAGGCGGGCAGGGCAGCGAGCCTCGGCTCCGCCTCCGCGCTGCCCAGCCGGGCAGAGGGAGGAGTGGGAGAGGCTGTCCGCTGTGCCAACACCCCTGTCTCTGCCCTTCCTGGGTTTGTGAGCACCTGGGATTGGGAGCCGGGGGAGCCGGGAGGAGCAGGGAGGAGCAGAGGGAGCAGGGAGGAGCAGGGAGGAGCAGGGAGGAGCAGGGATGAGCAGGGAGGAGCAGGGAGGAGCAGAGAGGAGGAGGGAGGAGGAGGGAGGAGGAGGGAGGAGGAGGGAGGCGGGCACAGAGGCCTGGGGAGGAGTCCATTACCTCTCCCTGGGGCAGAGGTGCTTTCTGATCTCTAGGGAAAGGCGGCAGGACTGGCCTGACTGTTCCCCTTCCCCTCTGACACTGTGGGCTTAAAAAAATATCGGCCCGGCCAGCATGGCTCAGTGGTTAAGCATTGACCTATGAACGAGGAGGTCATGGTCTGATTCCTGGTCAGGGCACATGTCCGGGTTGTGGGTTCGATCCCCAGTAGGAGGCATGCAGGAGGCAGCCCATCGATGATTCTCTCTCATCATTGATGTTTCTCTCTCTCTCTCTCTCCCTCTCCCTTCTTCTCTGAAATCAATTAAGAAAATATATATATATCTTATATATATATATATAAAATACCAGAAAGATTAGCAGTGATTTAATTAGAATCTGGCATTTACTTTGCCGGCCTCTTCCACACAAAGCTTGTTACAAATTCACCCTTTGGCCCAGCCAGTGTGGCTCAGTGGTTGAGCGTCAATCTATGAACCAGGAGGTCATAGGTTCGATTCCTGGTCAGGGCTTGATCCCCAGTAGGAGGCGTGCAGGTGGCAGCCAGTCAACGATTCTCTCTCATTGATGTTTATCTCTCTATCTCCCTCTCCCTTCCTCTCTGAAATCAATAAAAATATATATATTTAAAACACACACACGCGCACACACACGCACACACATGCACACGCACAAACCCCCAAAAACAAATTGGCCCTTTGTGCCCACACTTGGTTGTGTATTTAGGGGATAAAAGTCCTGGGATTGAGGTCTGATACAGCAGTGTGCTTCGCTCCGCTCATCCGGAGATGTGAGGCCGTGTGGCTGGCGGGCCTGGGGGTGGGAAGCACATTCATGTCCACGCGGCCTCATCAATTGCAGCTGATTCAGTGAGAGCGACAGGTGAGGGCGCTGGGCCTTATAAACGTTTGTGATAAGAGCAACAGGTGTGGCACAACCTGCTTGTTTATTGTGAATAAGAACCGGTTTGTGCTTCTTAAATCCCCGTGTATATACATATGCAAGTAAATGCTTGACTCATAGTCGAAGGCATATGTGGGATCCTTCATACAAGGAAGGGCCTTATCGTTGACAAGGGAGCTTAAGCACTCAGCTTCAAGTGCTGTGGGCGCAGCGACGCCGCCGCCGCGGGCTTAGGGGACGCTGTCTGAGGGGGACCTGCCTTGCACAGGGCATCTTAGCTGTTGGCAAGGTTTATAAATAAATTACTTCTCAGCCAAGGTGCCCATTTGTTTTTTTAAGCATTAAATTTCATCTGTGACTTGAGTTACGACTTTCAAGTCAGGTTATGAGTTTGACTTTGGTGTCTTGTGACTTCCTAAGACAATT